AGCGCAGTACTTAGACCAGGGCTAATATTTAAAAAAAAAGGAATGATATCTTAATACTGAAACGTAGAAACCACCTATCATTTGAAGGTTTTACATGAGTTTTCTTTCAATAATCTGTATAAGCTTTTTGTAGCGGATGCAGTCACACAATGGATTAGTTAGGAATGTTTAGAATTAATAATAATTTTTAACGAATTTATGATGAACTGAAAGATGTGCAATACATTTTATAAGAGATTGTAGTAAGTAAATTACGAGTGAAGAACTTGTGGTGATGTTTGACGGATGATCAAGGGTAACTTTTGAGAAATTCTTAATTTCCATTTAAACATTCTCACTACATTTTTGTTAAATAGAATCTTAAATTCTTTTTAACTTTTTTTATAGAAGCTTAACACTCAAAGAAGTATATAACGAAATGCCAAGATTCATTGAAAGTCGAACATGGAATTTTAACTACATATATTCTTTATCACTACGCAACCAAATTGTGCGATCGCTAAGGACGTGAGTAGGATTTTGGGTAACAGATGCTGCAACAACGCAACAAAAATTACTTTTAAATCCCCTTTGGCGCTATATTCAAATTATTCACACTATTTTGTTTTTACAATGAAATTACGTTCTCCAAAATCTTGAGTCCTATATATGGAAAAATTAATCTCGGGTAATTTTGATCCGAGGTTCATACTGCTGAAGTGACTTCATAATTGTACGTGCTCAATTGACTAGTCTTATAAATAACTCACAAGTGAAGTGATCTTGTGCGAACTGTGATCTAAAGGCATAACGCATACAGTGTATGTCCTCACGAAATTGAACCACCTTAGGAGATGCATAATGCAGTCATCAAATGTTACCACTCCATCTTCGAAATTGGCAAACATGACCATATTCCTTTTGGCTGTAAAGATGTTGTAAGTGGTTGTTCATTGCAATTACGATGAAAACTTATCGAGAATAAACGACTTCTCGTTCCTGCATCGCTTGCAGAGAGCCATCTTCAAATAAGTGATGTTTGATAGAAAGTCAAAGCCAACAAATGTGATGAGTATTTTAAATGAGGTTTTGTTTCTTGATTTACTTGACAGTAATATTTCGCTTACAACTGGACTGCATCAATGCGTACTTAAAGGAAATTTGCTTATTCGTGATTATGAGTTACGTGCTTGTAGTGAAAACAAGCTACAAGCACTGCATTCAAAAAACTCTCTCAATACTCAAGGATGGAGCTTGCCAATAATTGATAGAAGGCATTTGAACATTTTCGTAATACACCGACCCCACTTAGGCATGGTAATTGCAATGATTTTCATTCCTTTCGTAAACACACAACAAACTGAGATTTGCTGAAAGAGCTTCTCAGAATTAGTTTCATTTAAGAAATGCTCCCGACAGGATCCTGTGGAACGCTCGAGTGTTGCCTACACGGCAAAGCATGTCGTGCAAGTCTACAACATGCAGAAGAATTGAAACGCCAAGGTAAGAAGTTTATAACTTAATTTATACATGAGAAGCTTTTAGTCAAGTCATTTGGCCGCGGGAAATTGGTTGAGCAGGAAATTGATAAGAAGCAGACTCGACAGAAAGAAGCTATCGATAGGCTAGCAAATCACTTGATGTTTGAATTTTGCCTTAAACTGGAGACGCATGGGTTAGAAAGTGCTTGCAATTCAGACATGCAGAGGATCATACCAAACGTCGCCAGAAGAGACGAGAAGCGCGTGCTCGAAGGAGATTAGAAAGAGAAAAAGAAAAGGTTTGCTTTGATATAACAAGAGCTTCTCATTCAACTCGTTAGAATATAAATTACCCATTCTTTCGAAGAATTTTATTTAATTTTGTAAATTTTAGAGTCGTCAAAGATCTGGGTCAGAGAGCTTATATAATGACAGCTCTAGATCGTATGTGTTAGTTTCCTGCTTTCTTACTCCTTAATGAGGAAGTTGCGCGACATAAACATGCATCAAATTGAGTGATGTCTGACAGGGTTTACAATAGCTCAAAGAAGAGGAGAAATGAATTAGATTTTGGGCAGGTTCCCCTGCAGCAAGTCCAATGTCTTCATAGATTCCACGTTTGCGAAGATTGATTATGAATATAATTGACTAACAAAAATTATGGTTTTGAATCCTTGAAAAACTGTTTCTGGCTACTTGGCGCCCTGTGACTATTTCATTTGCAGCAAGCACCATCTGATTTATTGTACTAGTATTGCGAAATATTGTAGAGGTTTCTAAGTAAAATGTCGACTGCGAAAACCGAAACGCTGCACGGCTCGTGGAAACTGGGGTAGTAATTTAACAGTGAGCTGTGAGTAAAGTTTTAGTTAAGCCCGCGGTCATGCAATAATAGCAGAAAATCCAGATTCGCTCCAAAAAGATGTTCTGACAGATCGTGAAACGTTTGCAAAGAACAAGTTTCATGAGTTTTAAAGCACCAAAAAATAAATGATCTCTAAGCAAACTCGAAATCATCTCGCAGTGAACTCATAGGTTCGATACTCCGGAGACAAGAGAGCAAAAGTGATAGTGACTTAATGGACCTTTGCAAAAAGTTTTGATTGATTGGTGGTTTTTGATATGCTATGTTAGCTGAAGAGGAAATAAGGAAATTTTCTTGATTTAAAAGCAGTCAG